AAATGAACAAACCTGTCGAGTAGCGTGTGGAATATTTGTTGGGTCCCTAAGCGTACTTGAGGATCCTTGACGAGGGCAAGTTGAATGAGAGTATGTAAGAATGAGTCGGTGAATACGGTAGCCAAATAAGCCGTGCGATATTTTGTAGCCACCTCAATTAAATGGCATTAACTTTTAGAATGCTGTATTCCAGATTAATTTTAGTTTGAAAATTAGTAATTTTGCTTCTCTAGCTATATATCGCAAACTCGTCAACAATTGGTCATATAGAGGTGATAAAAAGCTGTAAATTGTATGGGAATAAAGTGAAGAAAACTCACCTTCAGGAGCGTTTTAACCAACACATGCTGCAAGAATTCATCTCCTTGTTTCACTCGCTTTTCGTCCAAGTTGGGAATGTTGCCAACGGTGAACATCATCATTTCAACCTTAAATAGGGAAAGTGGGTGCAGTTTGAGAAAACCAGAAAATGGCACTAGTCAACTCTGCGCCGAGTCATTGAAGAAAATTGCGCTCAATCATTGTTTTTTCTTTGGTTTTCCAAAAATTGGTGTGACAGACACGAGGGACGTTGACTAATGACACCATACCATGACATGATGAAAACCCATTATATAGAAAATCTCACTTTTTGATAATCCGGCAAAGCATTCGCGAAATCACCCATCGCATTTATCAGTGCTTCCTGATACATTTTTTCGGCTTCCGAATCTTTGCATTTATCAGATCGCTCAAAGTCCACAGAGGTTCTCAAGTGTTTCAGTAGCGAATTAAATATGGATAAAAGCAATGGGCCTGAAAAGGATTTTCAGCATTCTAGGTTTACTCTTCTTTTTCAAATTCTTACTGCATTCCGTCACTACATTTTTCCCCAAGAGGATATTCAGAGATTAATTAAAGATAAATAACAATATTCGGTGAACTCAGTAAATTCAGTGATATTGTTAGGTGCAACGCAAAAGAACACTGGTTTTTAATTTGAAGAGTACGGAAAAAAGAGAGAATTGAACAGAACGGGAGCTTACCTATACTTGTTCCAGCGATCGATACGATATTTGACAATACTGTTGCTATTCCTATCCTAATCACAGCATCAGCGCTGCTCATCGAATCCAGATGATTGATCAGCTCCTTAAAATCAATAACATCATACCAACTATAATTTTCATTCATTGAAAACTTACCTAACTTTAAACAGTAATGAAAAATAATTTATTTTAACTAGATTTTTGGCCTATAAAAAACATCTAGGAAAAATAGCTATCATGGTTTTGACGATACAGAATCTACTTCACATGGTCAACTCGTTACTAAAAGAAAATCGGAGTTGTTTTCCTGATGTGATATGCAAAGTCAGAAGACGATAAGTCTTAGCGAAAGTTACAACCATAAGCGTATCTTATGCATTGATGTAAAGTGTCGTGAAAAAAATTTAAAATAAAATTTTTGAAAGCAGGCAAAAACAGAAGAGGTAAATTCTTAGAATATATTCTTGCGGAAAAAAAACTCACTCGGATTTGTGAAGAATGTTATGGATTCTATCAGTAGCAAATCGTATACCCCACTTTCGAGGGATTGTAAAATAATTTGAATCAAAAAATTAGCTGAAAAATACACAGAAGTGCTTGAAAAGGAGCATAAAAATGTGACTTGATATGATGTAATGCTAACGAATTAATGTGACTCAATTTCTACTCAAGTTATGTCTTCTTATTAAAAAACTAATGTCTTCTCCGTCTCAATTCCATTGCCTGTTCCATGACATATTTTATAAGAACACAGTTCACCTTCGCAGATGCTTTAGTGCATTAACAATTCTAAGACAACAAAAGCAATAGCATTTTTCGTTCTAATTTCAAAGAGAGCTCGCACAAATTGTCAAACATGGTATGACACTTACTTGGATAACAAAGTAACTGTTCTGACTCTGGATACTGTAGATTATCGCTCTAAACACATGTATGGCGAAGAGAGGTGGTGGTTTCCAGTGTGCATGTAGATCCATATGTTTTAGCACCGGTTCCATTACTGCTCGCAATGAACCGAATGAGGCCTGTAATTGTTTTTTTTT